TCTGTAGGTAATCCTAATTTGGTGCCTAGTTTGAGTTCCTCTTTTCTACTCTATTCTCTTCTCTTAATCCTTAGTGAGAATTAGATATTTTTAATGTATAAAGATTTAATTAAAATTTTGAGTTTATTAGATCTTTATTTTTTTAAAAATTCTTGAATTCAAAGATCAATCTATTTCATATTATCCTTCTCAAATCAAAATTTCCATATCTATCAATTCCTAGTTGGAATTATTTTCAGCTTAATCTTGATCCATATCTTTTCAAATGAGAATATTTATTCTATCTTTGATTACATATACTTGTTATAAACTTTAGTCTCAATTATCCCTCTTGTTTGAGCTCTTTTAGACTAGGTCTTGATTCATATCAGTCCAAATAAAAATTCAAATGCTATTTTCAATGGAAGGATCCTTAAATTTGACATATATAAATTTTTCAAAAGAAAATTTAATTTGAGAAAATTTTGAGAGTTTAAAATTTGATACAAACTTTTGAGGGAATTTTCTTTAGAGGGTAAGTGATTTATTTTTCTTAATGAAAAAAAATTTACCTTTATTTTATTTAAAGTATTAAGTAAGAGTTGATTGACTCCTTTAAACACTTAAAGAGAATTTCTTTTAATGATCCATAAAAAGAGCATGTTTCTCCCTCCCATCCTTGGTGTGGAGTGATGTTATTTTCTTGAATTAAAATCTTTGACAAATTATAATTATAAAATTTTCTTTACCATCTTGCAATTTTCTATCTCATAGACATCTTTTGCATGCTTATGAATCCACTTCATAATTCTCTTAATCAAGTTGTTCATTTTTATCATAGGGTCGAGTTTGTTTTGTTAATTATTCTTCTTTACATAAGAGAGTGAGTTTTCTTCTCCTATGTTTGGAAGATAATTCTACAACTGAGAAAATTTTCTTTTAGTGGTTGAGAAAGGAAGCCATTTAAAAAAAAGAAAAAAAGAGGCGCAATGTTTGCCAAAATATTAAAGATGCACAAAGTGTATCAAAATAAAAAGATGCGCAAAGTGCGCCAAAAAAAGAGAGGCGCAATGTTCGCCAAAGTTTTTTTAAATGGGCACAAAGTGGACCCAAAATGAATAAGTAAATGGCTTACCTTTCTTGGAAATCTCTAAATCTCAGAAAACTCATGTGTCCTTTGATATTTTTGATACTCGAGTTTGAAAATTATGACTTTGGATTCATTATTATGCAATAATATTCTATTAGATTTGAAAGTATTTTCATGCAAGAAATTTGAGAAAATTCACTTTCTTCTTCTAATTTATATCTTTTTGAATAAGATTTTAATTCAAAAAAAAAAATACTTTTCTAAGGGAGAGATCCCAGTTTAGCTTGTAGGGAGCTTAAACTGGGTTAGCAAAATTTAAATCCCTAACCTTTTTGGGTTTAGATGGAGTCAACCCACTCTTTACTAAGTTTTCAAATTTGGTTCAATTTGTTATTTCGATTGATCCAAAGTAATCAAGAGGTAAATCTTTCATTTTGGTAAAATAATATTCTTACTCTTTGATAAAATTTCCCCTCTTTGAAAAATTATGTGAATCAAACTTATCTCAACTAATTGGTGAGTGTTTAGCATCTCTTAGTGCCTCAACTATTGAGCATATTTAAATACTCACCTTGTTCTTTTGAAAATTCATGTATAAAAATTTTCGGACTCCTACATTTGATTATAAATCATTCTTGTGGACTGATGTGATTCTTCCTTTAATTGCACTTTCATTCTCTTTTGGATCTTGGTTGTTTTGAGTTGTGATTATATTGCTTACAAACAACCATTTTGTGTGTATTGTATTCTCTTGATATCTTTTTGCCGTCATCTCTTATTTGGGAACTACTTTCCCATTCAAGTTATTGATTCTACTCACTTGTCTGGGAGTCACTTTCCCATTCAAGTCATTAATTTTGTTCACCTGCTTGGGAGCCACTCTCACATTCAGGTCGTTGTTTTGTTCACTTGTTTGGGAGCAACTCTCCCATTCAAGTAGTTTGTTTTGTTCACTTGTTTGGGAGTCACTATCCCATGCAAGTTGTTAGTTTTGTTCACCTGCTCGGGAGCCACTCTCCCATTTAAGTTATTAATTTTGTCCACCTTCTTGGGAGCCACTATCCCATGTAGGGTGTCGTTTCTGTTCACTTGTTTGGGAGCCATTCTCCCATTCAAGTTGTTGTTTTGCTCACTTGTTTGGGAACCACTATCCCATTCAAATTGTAGTCTTTGTTCACTTGCTTGGGAGCCACTCTCCCATTCAAGTTGTTGTTTCTGTTCACTTGATCGGGAGCCACTATCTCATTCAAGTTGTTGGTGCTTCACTTATTTTGGAAGTCACTCTTCCATTCAAGTTCTTATTTCACTTCTTAGTTGGGATTCATTCCCTTGGATCTTTCTACATGTGATTATTCTGTCATGTTCTTCCTCCTATCGATATCTTGATGACTTTACCTCGATTTGCATAAAAGTATTCATCTTTATTCCATGTCATTCTTCCTCCACGGACAGACCCGTAGGAGAGATTTCTCATTTGATATTTCTGGTGGATTTCTTTGTTCAAGAGATCCCCTTTCGCCACTTCACTTCTTTTTCGCTCTTTGTTCCACCGTTTTGAATATGGTCAGGCGAACATTGAGTAATCCTCATTCACCGTTTCGAATATGGTCAGGTGGATGTTGGATCCTTTTTCTCTCTTTTGCCCTGCTGTTGCGAATGTGGTCAGGCAGGCATTAGACCTTTTTGGGAAGCTCTTTATTCGCTGTTGCGAATATGGTCAGGTGGATATTGAGCCATTCTCATTCGCTGTTTTGATTATGGTCAGGCGAATGTTGAACCCCCTTTCTTTTTCTCCCTTTGTCTCGCTGTTTCGATCTGGTCAAGCGAACATTGGGTTGTCCTCATTCACTGTTTCGATCTGGTCAGGTGAATGTTGGACTGTCTTTTGTCCCACCGTTGCGATTTTGGTCAGGTGGACATTAGACTTTCGGGAGGGCTCATTATTCACTGTTGCGATCTGGTCAGGTGGATGTTGGACTTTCGTCCCTGGGAGGCATTCCTCACTACTCTTTTCTCTTTTGTCCCACCGTTGCGATTTTGGTCAGGTGGACATTAGACTTTCGGGAGGGCTCATTATTCGCTGTTGCGAATATGGTCAGGTGGATTTTGAGCCATTCTCATTCGCTGTTTCGATCTGGTCAGGCGAATGTGAACTCCCCTTTCTGGTTGAGAGAGCCCGACAGAGTCCCTGGGAGGCATTCCTCACTTCCTTCCTCTTCTTATCACCTCGGCATATGCGTCGGGTGATTGTTGAGTGTACTTTCCTCTTTTGTCCCACCGTTGTGATTTTGGTCAGGTGGACATTAGACTTTCGGGAGGGCTCATTATTCGCTGTTGCGAATATGGTCAGGTGGATTTTGAGCCATTCTCATTCGCTGTTGCGATCTGGTCAGGCGAATGTGAACTCCCCTTTCTTGTTGAGAGAGCCCGACAGAGTCCCTGGGAGGCATTCCTCACTACTCTTTCCTCTTTTGTCCCACCGTTGCGAATATGGTCAGGTGGACATTAGACTTTTCTTCGACCCTTTGTTTTACCGTTTCGATCTGGTCAGGTAAACATTGGGTCATCCTCATCTGGTGTTGCGAATATGGTCAGGTGGATGTTGGATCACTTTTTTCTTCTGTTCTGCTATTTCGATCTGGTCAGGCAGACAGTCGTTTCCTTACTCCACTCTTGTTCACTGTTTCAATCTGGTCAGGTGAGCACTGAGTTTTCCCCATTCACTGTTTCGATTTGGTCAAGTGAATGTGGGACGTTTCTCTTTTTCCTTCTGTTCTGCTGTTTCGATCTGGTCAGGCAGACAGTCATTTACTTGCTCTACTCTTGTTCACTGTTTCGATATGGTCAGGTGAGCACTGAGTTTTCCCCATTCACTGTTTCGATCTAGTCAAGTGAATATGGGACGTTTCTGTTTTTCCTTATGTTCTGCTGTTTCGATCTGGTCAGGCAGACAGTCGTTTCATTGTCTTACTCTTGTTCACTGTTTCGATATGGTCAGGTGAGCACTGAGTTTTCCCCATTCACTGTTTCGATCTGGTCAAGTGAATGTGTGACGTTTCTGTTTTTCCTCATGTTCTGCTGTTTCGATCTGGTCAGGCAGACAGTTGATTCTTTACTTTTCTTACTCTTGTTCACTGTTTCGATCTGGTCAGGTGAGCATTGAGTTTTCCCCATTCGCTATTGCGAATGGTCAGGCGGATGTGGGACCCCCTCTTTCTTTCTCCTTCTGTTCTGCTGTTTCGATATGGTCAGGCAGACAGTTGACTCTTTCCTTTCCTTACTCTTTACTCACTGTTTCGAATAGGGTCAAGTGAGTCTTGAGTTTTCTCCATTCACTGTTTCGATCTGGTCAGGTGGATGTGGGATCATTCTCCCTTTCTCTATGCTGCTGTTGCGATGTGATCAGGCAGATAGATGATTTTCTTATCTTTGATTATTCTTCATTACCTCCTTATGATTATTGCTCTTTGCTATTTACTATAATTTTCAAGTGATGGTTGAATCTGCTTCTCCTCGCATCATCTTAGACATGTGTTCTAGGTGATTGTTGAGTCTACTGTAGTTCTTTATGTCACTACTTCGATTTTGCTCATATGAGCATAGAATTCCTTCCTTCTCCTATTCTGTTGTTATAGTATGAATATGCAGATAGTTGAGTTTGTTTGCTTGGCTCTTCCTCTCTATAGTCAAGTGAGCATTGAGTATTCTTCGTTCGTTGTTTCGATTTGGTCAGACGAATGTTAGGTTTCTTTCTCTCTTATGTCCCACCATGTCTGCATGATTGAGTGAGCATTGTATGACTGAATGATTGTTGCCATGATCATTGCATGATTCGATAACTTTTGCATGATTGTGTGAGCATATCATTGAGTGATTATTGCATGTTGATTGTTTATTGTATAAGTATATGATCATGGCATGATTATATAATCGTGGTGTGATCATTCAATGATTGATTGGTTTTTGTATGAGTGCATGGTCATTATATAATTGTGCGATTATGGGATGATCATTATATGTTGGATTGCTCATGGCATGATCATGTGATTGTGGTGCGATCATTGCATGATTGATTGGTTATTGCGTAAGTGTGTGGTCTTGACATAATTGTGTGATTATTGCATGATCACTTGCTTATTAGCATGTGATTTGATGTGATTAGATGATTATCACATTTTTATTATATGGTTGTAGTTATTATGTGATCGCATGATAGAGATATGACTAAATTATTGTTATATGATTGGTTGAATGTAGCATGATGAAATGATATTCGTCGGATTATGTGATATTGTGATATTATTATTTGATTGCATGATTATATGATTAATGCATGATTGCATAAGCATTGTGTGACTTGTGTGAGCATAACATGGTGGGACACTTATTGCATGATTTGCGTGATGGTATGCTTCTCAATTCTCATTAGTTGATCGTAGGATTGCATCTTCCTATCGAGTCTTCTTAGTTGATCGTAGGATTGCATCTTCCTAGCGAGTCTTTCCATTTTGGTCGTAGGATTACATTTTCCTAGCGAGTCTCTTTAGTTGATTGTAGAACTGCATCTTCCTGGTGAAGCTCGTTCGTGGTTGTTGGATTGTACCTCCTTAAAGATAAGGAGGTCAACGCCAACACGTACGATTTACCCATTGTTCACCGCACATGTTGGGGTGGAGTTTGTTGACCTCGTTTTTGTCCTGATTTGCCCTCAACTGTGTTTGATCGAGTTGATAGGGTCTCGTCAGGTT